AAATCCAAATTATTTGAAATTTTAGGCGTGTTTTTATAACAAATTGGTGAATCTTACAAAAAATATCAAAAAAATATTTTATATGAAACAAATTGACCAAAATACCCCTAAATATGTTTTAGGGGTATTTTAATCATTTTTTTTCCACGAATATTTTGTTTTATATTTTTATTAGATGAAAATTGATGAGAAGAACACACACTTAACATTTCAAGTGATTTGGATTAGTAGAAAAAAAAAATATTCAAGCACTACCGGACATCCGTGATCGTCAGATTGGTCTATATTCAATCTAAACCGTTGGACTCATATGTTCACATGAGCTAGTGGGCTAATTCCACCTTTTTCCATATATATATAAAAAAAACACTACGCAACACCTATAGGCGAAAAATGAACAGTGATTTCACCTATGCTCGTCACCGTCTAAAGTTCACCGCACGATCACAGTTGTTTGGTAGTGTTTTAATTTTCATTTTTTTTTACAAATCAGAATATTTTGAAATTTATAGCGTGTTTTCATAAAAAATAAAAGAATCTAATAAAAATATAAAAAAAATAATTACATAAAATATAAATTAACCAAAATACCCTTAAAATTTAAAGGGGTATTTTAGTCAATTTATATTTTACGAAATATTTTTTTTCATATTTTTATTAAGTACATCTCACTAAGGTGTACATACCCTTTAAATTTCACATCATTTCGATTTATATAAAAAAAATAAAAATTGAAATACTATCAAATAATCGTGACCGTGTGATGAACTTTAGACGATGTTGAGCATATGCCGTTTATTTTCGCCTATAGGCATTGAGAAGACTTTTCCATAATTTAAACTTCTCAACCGTTCAAATTACAAAGGTTAAAGATAGAGAGAGTTGTGAAGGATGAATTTACTAATTTTGTAGTCTATTTTTTAAAAATAGTTATTTTTTGTAAAAATTGTTATTACTCTTTATCATTAAGTAATGACAATTTTGTAAATATTACTACATGACAATGGGTATTTTGTCATCTCCAAAAATGATAAAGTCGAAATTTTTATTAAAAGACAGTGACACTCTATAAATAAAATTCCAATACACTAACTTCTAAAATGCTATTGTATTTTTGTAAAAATTTCTAATTTTCCCTTACTTAAAGGTTCAATTAAGTAT